AGTGGTCATGGACGAGTGTCCATCGAAAATATCGAGACCCCAAGTATCATTTTTAGTTCGCCAAATTTGCATTGGGCGAGATCCACCAGTTCTCCGATGGTAATACCATGACATTCCTTGAGTCTATTTCTTCGTAGTCGAAGTGATCTTTCATCAGCGCATCAAGGAGGTAAAAGATGACTCATGGCGCTTCAATGACCCCACTCGTCGTCGTCGTCGTGGTGTCTGAGAAGGACATGTGTTGTGTGGTTGTTTTCGTGTCGTCTTAGTTTCACTCATCGCTTTCTTAACATCGAACCTCCATTAATTCACCTCCTGCTTTTTTGATTGACTACTTTCATGATGACACATGCGAACATCACTGCGTTCATCTACATAACTGCTGATTGAGTCCGGCTTTTTCAAGCCATAACTCATACCCTGTTTGGGCCAGCCGGGGCGTGGCCACTGTATGTCTTTTGCTCACATTCAATTCACATTAAGGCAGTTCTGTTTGCTCAGAGGAAAATTCCCATAGACCTCCCAGCGTTCGGATTTTTCAAGAGACGTTTGTTTCGGTCAATTTTCGTGATGCTCATTTTATCTCCTACAGTCTGCAGAAATAGCAGTGGTACTTAAATTTGGGTGTTCCATTTTTCAGGAGTACGCCGGCCACCGCCGCCCGTTCCGCTGTTCGCGCAGCACTCGTTCGTCCATCCCCACGTGAGATCGTGCTGGCATTCGAACTCTTCACAAACGACGTCCTATGTGGACATTAGTCCTGCTCCACATCGCCGTCGCCTTTTTGGCGGTTGCCGCGGCACCGGTAAACCTACCTCAAACCATCTGTGAGTTCATTTGATCCTCTTTCGTCTTCCTCTCTTTCCTTCCCTATTTCTCTCTTCTTCGCGAAACCTCATAGCCTCACGTTTTTGCTTCCCCAACGAACACGTCTCCTTGGTCCATTTTGTGTGACGGTGACAATTATGTAAGAGCGTATCGTACGTTCAATGAGCCGCTAAAATGGTTGGTTGTGTTCTGGTTTGATCGGCTCTTCATTGTCACCGGCTGTTTCTTCACACCCTCTCGGGCCGGACATGAGGACGTATGAACAGGAAATTGTTTGAGATCCGTCTTATATGCGAGTAAAACGTGGCGAAGATGCCTGAATAATTCCTCACGGGATTCTGGTAATCTGAACAGCCATTGAACAGCGAAACCAGTTACCGAGCTTTCCCTTTATGTTGATCTTTCACGTTTTCTATGATATCAATTGCGGTTCTGCCAACGGTTCGCATACTGGTCGAATAGGGCTTTTTTCTTGATGCTTTTTCGTTCCGTCTGGCTACAAGACACCGCAGCAGCAGCAGTCCGCATTAGAGCGTAGTTTCCGATCTTGCTCTTACCAGTTTCTCTCATTCGAATTCTCCGGTTACGATACGTAAAGGAATGTTTCCCATTGATCAAACTTCAGGCGAAACCTCCAAGTCAATCATGAACGCGTTTCGCTCTTTCTAATCTCAAACACTTGTAGACACACACACAAGGAGTTTCATCCATCACGGTCACACATACGTCCACACCCCGACAAACCCTTCAAAAAAGTCCTCTATTATTTTCATTTCCTTTGTCTCGTCTTTTCCCTGAATAGCCCAACTCGTTTGACCCTATAAGGATGACAGATGTGAAGAAATTCAAAGGGTTATCGATGGGAACCAGTTGGGTTCCTGAGGCAGCAAATCCCTCTTCCTATTCAATTGCATGACATCGACGACAACACGTCGATGGAGAGGAGGTGTTCGATGGCCAGTATTGTTCTGCTGTCACTTGAGGCAAGTGAAATTTGACGGGGGAAGTGAACAGCAGCAGCAGCAACCAAAATCACGGCTAATTTCGGCACCTCAACAGGTTATCATACGCGGAGAAGTCCTTCAAATACACGCCGGCTATCAGTCTTTGAGACTTTCAAGGTCTTCACTGGCCAGCCATGACTTTGAGTTATCTGCTCAACGACGAGCAAAAACGCTCACGCGCCGAGAGAGTTTTTCCCTGCACTAACTCTAGCGTAGATAAGACGCACGTAAATCTTTGCGTATCTCCACCTATTGATTTTCCCCAGTTTTGAAGTTGCCTTTGAAAAGAACTTGTTCGAGGATCTCATGTAGTAAGGGGGTGAGCATTTATGGCGTTTAGAGCCCCCAACGAACACCTTGAGCATTTCGTTCTGTTGTGAACATTTAGAGCTAGATCTTAGAAGGAGGAAGGAGAACTGAACTTCCGGGTATGCGAGCAATTTTAGTTTTGTCCTTGGTGTTCCTCTCCCTCCTTGTCTTGGTCATAGCTGCTCCCTAGGTGAATAACGCTTTTTTGTGTTTATGTGATCTAGCCTAGGGACATGTACAGCATACAAAAAGCCCTAGGAAATGACGTAGGAACAAGGCTGCTAATGATTTGTAACCTTAAAGGTCCTCCTTGAGATGAACTCGCGTATGCGAGACTGTGCACCGCAATGATCCGATTATATGGTAGTCATCCAGCCCTTTTGGTACAGCGCTAACGAGGTGGAAAGCAAGAATATGTGGTCCGGGGAGAAATTTGTTTTAACTGGTCTTCCTGTCCCTCGAAGTCTTGGTCGTAGCTGCTCACTACGTATATGGATTAGCGCTTTTTCGAGCTTAAGAATACATACGATTACAAAAGCCTTTAACACGTTGACGACAACGCGAGTTTTGGCACTTTTGGCCACGTGGGACCACGGCGTTTTTGCGAGCGCCGCCGCCTCAGGTTGTTCAAGCAAATTTTGAGTGATAAAAACATAAATAATGATCAATACAAGGCCAGATCAATATATTGTAATGAGCACAACCTACTCGGAGGTACAGTAGCGGAATTTCTATTGAAAGACATGGAATAACAATGAAAAAGTGATATTCTTTAGAACAAGCTGCAATAAACTTCAAAGGCAATTTTGAGTTGATTATTTTAATCAAAACACATATATTGTCATCTCTAAGGTACCGTATCTACTTCTACTACTATTTAAACCTTCACATTCATAGGAAGAAAAAGTAAACGAAAAATTTATTAGGCTGAAGATTTCGTATGGTTCAGAAATCCTCCTCTAAATTGAAGCATACGTGACCATTCTATGGACCACTATGTTTTTAGCTAGGTCAAGGTCTCCTCCATTCAATAATTACAAGAAACTTCTAGAAGAACCAGGCGTGCGCGAAAAAAATTAGTGTAATGGGTGCGGGGGATATATCCCCCGCACGGTCCGACACGGCCTGCAATGCGCGGGATATATATCCCCCGCGTTGTCGTCAATGTGTTAAATGATGGCGTAGGAAAAAGGCTGTTGACAGTTTGTAACCCTAAAGGACTCGTTGAAGTGGTAGCAGAAGAGAGACTGCACCACTGACCCCACTTAGTCCTTCTGGTGTAGCGGGAACCAGGCAGTAAATAAGAATTCGCAGTCCAGGGGAAATTGAGGGCAATTTAGGGGGTGGGAAGAGTACATGAGCCACCTTTCCTGTGGTAAAAGTTTGAGCATTTCAGTGTCCGGCGTAATGCTTTCGTGAAGGGGACGCAAAATAGCAAGAGGATTAGAAGTCACAGCTCCCAACCCCCCCCCCTCCTCACTGGATAAGATCTCTAGTTCTGTATTAGTATGGTGCGAAACAACCTGTGAATTGTGTATAAGGAACACGGTTCTCATGAACCTCTCCAGATGTTGACGATTGTCCCCGAGCAGATTTTTCATGGCCATTTGTGGCGCCAACCACCACCTCATCGGCTTCAAACCTTTTTCGCCATGACACGGCTCATTGCATAGCGCAAGCGCAAGGCGTTGCCTGAGAGAGCGGAACTTTCACTGGCGTCAGATCTGTCATCATTAGAGCGAGGGGTTGCGGATAATCCCGAAATGGCAGCGAAAACTGCCTAAGGACAGCTGCTGCCATCGTCATATGACCAGTTCTTACAGCGGAAGAGCTTCCGTCAGTCGTGAAACCGATGCTTACCGATGTCCCCGAAAAAAAGGGAGTGTGAAAACCGCCACAAAAACAGCTACACTTGATATCCTTTCATCGAGGTGTGCAGCTAGCTAAATCGCTGCTTGCGGTGGCATACCAGACCACATAGTTGTACAGCAAGCAGTTAGGGGGGATTAGGGGCGTTACTTCTATTCACATCGATTACGTGCTGTAAAGCTAATCAAGCATAATCAGAAAGGAGGCCTGGTAGTCGACAAGTTCTTGACAGCTCGCGTTATTGAGATCGACTTGCATGCACTAAACTCGAAATCCATCCATCCATGCACGCAAAAGGAAAAACTCCCTAGAGAGGCTACACTCACTACGCTATTCGCATTTAGGGGCTTCATTTTCCAAGCTCATTGATCATCGAGTGGATTAGAAGTGGCTAAGAATGTTCGTTCCGTATCCAGTTAGCTCTCAAGAGAAGCACTTCTGAGAAGGGTTGGTAAACGTCCAACTAAGGAACGTCATCGATTGTGTCGATGTTTTGTGACAACGATCCATCTCGGCCGGTAGCTAAACAAATAGTGTTCAACTCTGTCTCACGGGCAACTGGTTATTATGTATGGCTGGTGAAGAGTGGAACATTCTGAAACAAAGAACTTGTGAAAAGAAACGTTCATTTTATTGGTGCACGTTTTATTTCAGCTTGTCCTGATGACAAAATCTACGTGTACGTGAACGACTCGGCTCATGACAGGACGCCGTACGTCTTCGTCGAATTGTACGCGGATAGCCTACAGGTTTGATACCCTCGGAAAAGTCACTGATAAGTGAACTAATTGATAGTGACAGCCTACATGTTTAGGATTGCATTCGGAAGTGTTTCGGCAATCAGTTCTGCTACTCTTTGAAGTATGATGTGAATGCTGTCGAACGGTGTTCCCTGTATTACTTTGCTGCGTACAACTGTACCGCACAAGACCTCGTGCTAGCCAATTCCGTGCAGTACCCCGGCGGAGCTATTACCGTCGACTGTCTGCGATGTCCTGCAAATGGCGATTTCGGTGAGTTCTAAGTCAAATTTGGGCGCTATCGCAAGGTACGGGGGCAAGGGACACCTCGAGGGGTTCTCAAAGATTGAGGGAAGGGACAGGGAAAAAATTGCCCGCGCCCCCTGGACTCTCTCCACCCCTTCCTGGGCTTACAAGGAGGGTCTTTCAGGTCATGGAGCGCTTTTCCAAAATGATTTCCTGCACTTTGTAGAGACTCATGCGAGGAACATAAAACTGGTCCATTTTTCCTGAACACTTCTGGGAACCTCAAAACAGTGGTGAAGAAATGGTCCAAAGTTCAATCCGCCGTGGTGACAAATTTTTGCAATCCATGTTGGAGCCTCCAAATTGTCGCCAAATTACGAGGATGACATGTTAATCGACGCTGGTGCCATTTGGACACAATTTGGAGGCGCCAACATAAATTGCAAAAATTAGACATCACGGAGGATCGAACTTTGGACCATCTCTTCTCCACTATTCTGACCTTCCTAGAAAGCCTTCAGGAGTGATGGGCAAGCGTAACTGTAAAGAGGCCCCAAATTTCCGCGCGCTAAAACCCGAGCGTTCTGGATCCAATGGCAGGATCGCCAAATGACAGCCGAGGGACAAATGCCTGCATATAAGCGGGAGTTAGCGCCCATATATAAGCCTGGCTTTCCAACCGGCACCCTGAATACGGTCCACCCGAAGTCTTACTGTACTGTGCTTGTCGTTGGCTGATCCAGTGGATCTGGTAAAGGTACGGTGTTTCTTCTCCCTTGTGATTACGTGATGATTAGGTGGTGTCGAAGATCTAGTAGGTGTGTGGAGATTTTTGGTCGGATACTCATAAACTCGACTTCCATCCTTTTAGGCTCCGAAGAAGGCGAACTCGCCGAAACGTTAGCCAATAAACTGTCAATATCAACCTCGTGTGCAGTTCAACAAAGCTATACCATTCATCTCTTCTCCACTATTCTGACCTTCCTAGAAGCGTTCAGGAAAAATGGACCATGGTTTTGTGTTCCTCGCATGAGTCTCTACAAAGGCAGGAAATCCATTTTGGAAAAAGCGCTCCATGTCCTGAAAGACCTCCCTTGTTAGTCTCCATTCTAACAAGAAGGAGATATTCTATGCTATTGCAAACGCACTGCCACCACAAAGCCCCCGTATCTTGCGATAGCGCCTAAATTTAGCACGCGTACTTGTAAGGCCGTTGATCGTATTAGCTGCGAAATTATCATGTCAAAAGTCGAGTAGAAACGTTTCTGCAAGGTCGATGGATGTCCGTTCGGGACACCGTAGGTAATTACTTGAGTATTCGACAGTAGCGGGAGACGGACAGTAGCATAGACTGGCACCGGTCATTGCACCCCATTCGTCAGAACATTTGCAAAGTGAAAATCGTCGGGGGAATCTTGTCAAGGTTGTTCAAAAACGCATCGATTTTTTGGGTTCATTTTTCATCGGGAACGGGAAACGATGCTGCTGCCACTTGGCCTCCACTGCTTGCGTATGAAGGCGATGACCTCACAGTGGATACTTGCAGTCAGTCCGGGGTGGTGTGTGTCAGTGCGTAAAAGGGAAATCAGACCGTAAACACTTGCCAAAATCGAAACTTGTCTTTGATACGAGAGAGATACGCCAACTCTCCTCGTCTGCGCTTACGACGAAAACGAAAACGCTGCTGCCTGCTGCTGTCATCGTCGTGCCCAACGAGTAGAGATGTATTTCAGCTCGATTCATCGGTGAAACCGCCCGAAGAACTTGAACGGTTCACAAAAGAAAGACCTTTGTCATGCATGTATTCTGTTCTAATTTGCCAAATTACTCGCGCTCGTTTCAGTCACAGCCCCGCCGTTCGACACCTTCACAGAACAGAGCATCGTTGCCAAGGACTCGGATGGCAGAACACTTTTTTCAAAACCGCTCATCCAGGCAGTCACCGACAATATCGAGTCAAAACTCAGCGGTAAGCGGCAGTCTCTACCCCGATCAAAACCTCTTCGATGCGCGAATTTATGCCGAATTCCTAGACTGACATAAGGAAGACAATTACGACTGAGGTCATGAGTTATTCAAGTGTTCGCCGAAAACGTTCCATTCATTGTCATGAGTCAAGGTTCAGCTGTTCCAAACCCGAAACATAGGGAGGTGACGAAACGGGGGTAACAACCCTCTTCTGTTCGTCTGCGCTGACTGGACTGGGGTGAATGACGGGTCGCAGGGTCGCTAGCCGTCGGCCGCATTCCCCTGCTAGCTGCCTAATATGGCGCTGAATTTTTATCACCGCAATAGACCGCGCGACTAAAACAACAATTCGGCACACACCTAACCTGATTGCGATGTGATCGTAGCACGTGGATCGAACATTAGATGACAACTACGATGTGCTAATAGCAGATGGTCCTCAGCTGAGTACGGTAAGGGAAGCTGGCCTTAGAGATCGAATGGGCTAAATGGCTTCAGGAATGACGAACCTTTTGGTGAAAAATGCCCTTCGCTAGACTTGGCAATGAATCATTTTTGACGCATTTTCAGCAGTTTTTTCCAGAAGTTCGTACTATCGCCTGGAAAATCAGTTGCATTTGATGCGTGACGTTCTTTGAAGAAATTTGTCAAAGAGTTTTTAATTTATTGCCTGGACAGATTCTTCTAACGACAAGATTTTACTGAGGATAATTTCATCTCCAGGCGAACGAGCAACCTCGCCTTTTCGGTTCAGTTCAAAAGGGTCCAGTTCAGCATTAGAAACATTTCATACAATCCAATCAATTAGCGCATAAGCCAGCAGCCAACGGGGCTACGATAACCCTAATCCTGGCTTTAATTCTGCTCATGAAAAACTTTGTTTTTCTGTTCCCAGACGAAAACTGGCAGCTTCCTTGGTCAATGGGGTTTTTGATCGAATGTTCATCTTTTTGGCGTTGGCGGCGGTTGTGAACCCAGGGGGGGGGGGTAAGGGGTGGGAGAAAGAAAGAGAGAGGAAAAGAAAAGAGACCACCTTCTTAGTATACCAGCCGGGGCTAATCTTAGTGTGACACTCGTAGCAAATAACTGTTCGGGATAATAGGTAAGGCCGAAATAATGGTGTCATCTCATCTAACGCGCGGAGTATTCGAATTTCCCATTAAAATTGGGCCGTTTCAAATCGCCAGTCCGAGTAAATTACAGATTTCGAAATTGGCAATCTTTTCAGGACAACCTCCATCACATTCCCCGCCCACGGAGTCACCAACCACAGCGAACAATGAGGAAGTAGCAGATGCCATCACAGGTGAGGCTACCTGTTGATACATCGGCCCGGAAATGTCGAACATGTGACGCGGGGTCCACTCGAAGCGCTTTCGCTTTTTTCGCTGCTTCCTTCGCGTGCGCGCCACAACCGGTACTCCTCGTCGTTGATGCCCCCGGAAAGAAAGAGACAGGCTGCCGTTATGAAATATGCCTCTGTTTCGACGTCGAGAGTCCCTCAATGAGGTGTTGAAGTGGCTCCGTGCTGTAATACAAGCCATTTCATCGATGAACCTTATACGGCTTGTTTGTAAACACATGGTATAACATAATACCGTGGGCCTAAGTCGCAGAATTTCGATTATTTAGAAATGTTTCGGAGGGTAGGTACATGGGTACTTTCAAGTGAGTCACATGATAGCTCTCACCATCGAAATTGTACTGACCCGGAGCCTCATCGGGACCCATCAAATGTTTACACGAGGAGGGGCAAAAATTTGGTCTGAAAGAGAAGTTTATTCAGAAAGAATTCGAAAAACTCGAAAACCAGCCCAAAGTATTTGTTCTATTTGTTGGTAAATTTCTGTAGTGTTCTGTTAAGCAGTACCTTTGCCAAGCCCGAAATGAACTGGTAAATGTGGTTGGTTTGGTTACCTGTTTGATATACCTAATCCACAAAGATCTGCCTCAGCAACTGCTGGTTAAGCTGTCCTTGAAAGTACCCATGCGCGATGGAAGAATTAAATGAATCCCGCCCAGCCTCTGACAACCGTACGTCTGGTTGATTCCGACAGAGGAATCATATTTAAGCGAGGTCATGGTGGTGAAATGAAGGGGTCGTTCTTTAGGATGGGAATTGTTGTGCGATATCTTATCGGAAAGGGTCCAAAACGAACCTGCCCTTGATATTTCTTCCTCCCCCCACCATTCCGTCCTGCCTGACGGCAATTTTAAAGGAATGGCGGAGCAGTAGTGTCGAAGTCGCAACAGAGTCGAATAATATAGGAAGAGTCATGGGCCCATATTCTATATTTCCCCTTCACCGCCGCTGATCCTATCATATGGTAGGGGAGCCGGGGTTCCACGATAGTACCAGCCATAGTCTCTATCTAGACTTCCAGCAGCGCGACCTCTTCTTGAGAAAAACACTCGTCAATCAGGTGGGGGGGGGGGGGGGGGGGGAGGGAGAAGTGGGATAGCTATAACATCATGCGTTCAACGGAGGGTCCTATGATGCAATCCTGTCTCCCCTAAGCATAGTATAGAATTAGGGGGGGGCGCGTCTCCGCTGGGGCAGGGTCAACCCGTACTGTTGGCGACAAGAACAAGCGGGTCGTGTTTTGTTGGGCTTGTAAGGGTGGGAGTCGTGTTCTTCCCAGGCCTGAATTCACGTGTGAAACTGGTATTGTGTGAGAAACATATAAAAGGCTGGGTGAGTTAGGCGGCGTAGTGTGAGCCCCCCCCCGCGCTGGGTGTGTCGCTGTATAAGAGTCGGTGTATAAGAAATTATTTGGCCCTGCAGAATGATCATAAATAGTACCGTATAGATAAAAATGCAGCCATTTTCGCCATTCTCCTTAAGTGGATTTTCCAGAAATTTCAGCGAATGTGTTAACTCTGTTGTGTTTTCTTAAGAACTTCCGAGTTAAGGTCTAATCTTTCGTCCTAGGCGGGAATCGAACCCGCACTTCAAACTCACCGTGCTGGTGTTCTACCAACTGCATAGGCGAGGCATCACCATGTACCATTCATTCAGCTAAACTCAGTCTCGATGATACTGTCTCATATTCATTTTTTGACTATTTATTTCGGCAGCATTCCACTTCGCCAGCACCTCTGGCAACCGCTTCCCTTCGTAACCCCTTACTTTTTCCGCTGCCTCCTCGAGGAAGCGTATACAATACATGTACTAGAGGGTCTTATCACAAGCCATGAGGTTAGAATGACATGATTTGTTGACGTCAACATTCACTTACCTTATTCTGTCACGACTGTTTCTCCCTCGCGGCTTCCTATCCCGCTTAATCCGTCTCGTAACTGCTTCAGGGCTGGCCACTGCAGTACCACGTGACATTGCCGAGACTGTCTCAGCAGCTTTTCATATAGCCGCTGTGGGCTTTTTTTCCTCCACGACCCGTCCAAGGCCACAACTGTTCTTACTACTTACTTCTTGCTTCTACGAAAATTTCCCCGAAATCCTCAAAAACACAACCTCCTCTGGTACCATCACAACTCTTTCAACCCCCAGAAATACGAACCGCATCCCCATTTTCGACCTTTTGAACTTCACCAACCCAAAATACGACTCTTTGTCGAGAAACCTCAAATACTACCCCTTGTTGAAAACTGCGCTAAGCCCGCTTGACCCTGGGTTTATGAGTGCAGTAGTCTTTCATTTCCTAGCTTATTGGTGCTGACTCTTACCAGTTCTCATGATTCGATAACGTTGTCACCCGGCCAGTATCATTTGCTAATGTAGAACTTGAATCACCACAGCGAAGAGCGTAACGTGTTAGTGTCGCTATCCTTCGAACGGCCTTTATCAGCACTTATCAGTTTGTATCATTTATCACCATCAGGTTCCCCTACTGTTCCAACCAGGGTGAAAATTGTGTCGAGGACATGGTCGCAGCTTTACGACCTCCTCCTTAAATCAAAAACTTGATTTGATGTGAGTAAATTTGTTGCATCATTCGAAAAATGCAGTTGCAGCGCGGTTTTTCCCTGGGTCACGTTTGCTGAAACCCCGCCCCAAACCATCGAAATCTACGCCCTGGCTACTGGGTGGGATATATAAGTCAAGGGCCGCCCATGTCGTAGGCGACATCACTGGTAACCAAAGAATTTTCTGGACTTTTTCAGTATTTCAGTACCCTAGTCCGCCAATATCAAAGCATAGGTTTCGTTAGTGGGAGAATTTGAGAGCATCGAAAAAAACCCGCTTGATGATTTCGATTTCTCTTTCTATTTTTTGCGTATTTAATTTTGTCAGAAAAAGAACAGCAATGGAAAGCAGTGCCCATCATCAGCCATGACCAAAATGCCAGCAATGCACGACAAGGAAAAAGTGTCCGAGCTTAAAGGGATTCTTCTGATTCGCTTCAATTTGCCAACGTGAAGCCAGTTCCCATTCCAAAAAAGATGGACAACTTTCTGTGAACTTTTTTGTCATCAACACAATCTCGGTCATCCTTCCCATTAAAGTGCAAGCGACCGTTCTTTGATCCCACTCATTTAGCAGTCGTCGCACAGGGACACGTAGACCTAGACAAATCCGTGGGCCAAATACCAAGGGGACGTTCGATTCGCAATCTTCAACCGCCGATAAGGCAGAGGTTTTGCAGCGGCAACAGTGGCCGCTCACCTTTCGCACGTTCTGAGAAGCAGATACTGTAAAATCCCCCTCAGACCAACCGCTTCCCGTTCGGGGTCGTGGCGGTACTGGGCTCGTTCAGAAACTGTCCGAACGTTTATAAGTTCTTTGCAAAGTAGCAAGCCGCGGCGCAGGACGCTCTTGTATATAAGATCTCCCTGTCAGGGTAATGATAGCCACAGGTAGATGCATTTGCCCACTTTATGCTTCCCAACCAATTTTCCGAGGTAATTTTTTTGCTTCGCTCGACGAGGATCGCAAAACGCCATGCTGCCAATTATAACAATTGTTGCTACAATTTTCCACTCAAGGAAGAAGCTTGTATGGAATTCTGGAGTAGGAAAAAACGTTCAAGTCATCTCATTCTATTACGAAGACCCATTGTGTTTAGCATCTTTAATCAAGGGATCGTAGAAAACATCGATCGCTCCTTCAGAACGGTTTTTAATCTGTGGTAAGGTTCATTCAATGACATAAGGTGGGTGATCAAGGAAAGGGAATGAAGATGGGTCACAATTTGATCCTACATGTTGACAGATCTTGCGATGGGGTCTCTATTTCCATGTATTCAAATAAACCCGAACATGACCCGAACAAAGAGCTTCAATACCCCAGTACCCAACACTGCAAGTATCAACAATAAGTTATTAAAAATAGATTTTTCAGAGAGGTGGTTCGCTCATTTCTAGACTCTCGCAGCTGAGTTTAGCTTTGTTTCTGTATTTGTGCACATGCCCACGCAACATATTTGAGAGCGACTTTTTTTGTTAACATCCTGCTTTCTCGACGTGCTTTGATCGAAAGTTATCACAAAGTATGCTTCGTCTTGGACGATAACATGAAGTATCATAACCTTTTGATAGCTTTGTGGACCGTTTAACGGTTCCTGTTAACTGCTTTCTTTAGTGCCCTGTGGCAGCTCTTTGTATGTGTGGTTAGGTTCCATAGAGTCATGTTACGCGCCAGTAACACGTCGTTGGAAAAGCTACGTTCGTCCCTAAGTTTTGCACACCAGTGTATTTCGTCCAAAGCAGGAATTGAACCCGCGCCTCTTGTTCGGTGGGCAGCAGTGCCTTCGATCGAACTACTGGAGTACCCTCTAAAAACTGCATAGAGCTGTTCATGTCCTGAGCAGTTCTGCTAGTCGAAGTGGTTCAGGACATGAACCTACTCCTTGAACTTCCATGGCCGTTTCTATTAGAAAGCCACAGCAAACAATGCCTTTTACTGTTCTTTTGTCCAGCTTGAATAGAAGAAAACTTCAAAATTTTCATGAAATGATGCTTCTTTGACGTTTGTAATCCTCTTAGAGAGAAATGCAATCCTAAATCATTTTTCCAAAATGCTTCAACCTCTCATTTTTGGATACAAAACGTAGCTCTCTGTTGTTTCATTTGTCTGTTGTTTCATTAACTTCGTAGAAATGAGGGATGAGTCCATGGCGTGGCAGCGTTGATATCTAGCCATCAACTGAGTAGAAAGGCCTGATTTTTACTGGAGAAGTTATACAGGGCGAACGTATAAAATTTTGGAACGTTCCCCGCGTCAACACATTCGTCCGACTGAGTTCAGAAGTCACATTTTGGGAGAATCGATGAGAATTTTTATGAATATGGCATTGAAAACTGGATAGTCATTCAAAATGAA